CCCCAAAACCCCAAAACCCCAAAACCCCAAAACCCCGGCACCATTCCCAAGTATTGAAATTAATAGTCCATATTAACTTCGTGGTTTTCGTCCCTTTCTACTGCAATCTTATAGGAATATACTTCAAGACTGTCTAAGTCTAGGAAGACAATCTCACTAGTTTTAGAGAATGAAGGGACTGTTACACATCTGATATATTCTGACTCTTCTTTATCAAGTTTGGTTCCAAATTCCCTAAATTTTAGACAACTGATTTACTCAGCATTACACGAGAAATATACGTTAGGGCACTCTTTGATCACAAGAGGATCATTTGAGATGAATGGGAATGATCTGAGTGTGTCTGGTCAAGTAGGAGCAATATGTCTCATTTGGAGGGTGTCACATAGGATATCACACTCTGTTTTCTCTTTCATATCTCTAAATCTACAAATGTCCTTGATATTTTGACCTGAAGTGCCTAGGAACTTCTTGCCATTAATTTCGAATTGATGAGGATTTGTAGAGAAAACAATATTATCATTTTTGAGAAGCTGAGGGAATAAAGCTACATTAGGAGGCTGTTGAGGTAGGAAAGCTCCTGCTATATCATTATCTCCTGGGATAATATCTAATTCTCAAACTTGTGAAATGGCTTTTACAAAGCACTCGAATTGCTCAATAGAACCTGAGATATTAGTATAAACCTTCTCATTAATATCATGGGTTCTGAAGGATCCTTTGATTACTTCGTCAATATCTGATTCCTCTGCAATATGATTACCTGCTATTAAGATTCTAGCAACTCTACTGTTGAGTAGTCTTTCCAGTTTGCTTCCATAATTTCCGCTAAGGAACTGACTAAGCATTGTTGTAGGTATTTTCTGTGTTATATTTCCAAATTCCATTCCAGAGACAAAAGCCATAAACTTTCTATTTTCAAGATCACTGAATAATGTTTTCTCTTCGCTAAACTTTGTTTCTTCTTGTCTTAAGCTATTAATCGGAGGGACACCTGGTAATGTGTAATCGGATACCTCAAAGAATCCATTGGTGTTAATCTTTCCTTTAAGAGCAATAACTGTCCCTGTGACAAACTTAGAAGGATCCATTATATCGCTTGCCAATATTTTCATTCTACCGGAGATATCTTCAAGAAGGAGGGAGTCGCTTTCGTCTAAAGATTAGCAATAGGAATTGTACCAATGAATGGCCCGCTTTCTCTTCCGAGGAGGACTACCATATCTAGCACAACTGATGGCTTCAGCTTCATTTCCTTGAACAGAGTGCCAATAATAACTTTCTCTGATTTCTATCAGAATTTATTAAGTGAATGAAAAAGAGCTTACCTCTGGCTTTAAGCTAACGATCTCATCGACTATTTTACACCCATCCCATTTCCTAACTGAGGCTTCCTTAAGCGCAGGCATGAGGAGCTCGTATCTGCTAAAATAAGTAGATGCATATTGGATTGCTTTTGGTTCATTGAGATAGAATTCATCATCACAAAGCTACATAAAGGTAACAAAAAGCTTACTTTATATGAATCATCCTGGACTCTGGTGAAGCTGGATTCTTCCTGACCTAACTGCTTTACCTTTTTCTGTAGAAGACCCTTAAGTTTTGATTTTGATGCTTTATTTCTTGGCATGGTAATATTTTTAAAATTCCCGCAATAAAATTCTATAATTTTATCCTATTTAGGGGTTTTGGGGTTTTGGGGTTTTGGGGTTTTGGGG